AGACATTAAGGAGGTTGCAGTTTGCGCGGTGTCCCATTTGTTACCTATGGATAGAGGCAGCTTTTCCCCTTTGTTTCCAGTCTTTATGCAAGCTAAGCAACAGCCGGCTGGCTGTAGCTTACATTTTTAACTCTCGAAAGAAAGCAGATAAAGCCAGCCGTAAATCCCAAAGTGTCAAACTTATGCCTTAAGACCAACGCATCTTGGCTATTGCACTTCATTGCTCCCCAATGGCTGACTTATGTGTTTTAGTAGGTATCATATTGTTCTGTTTTGCCGGCTTGTATTATTTGGATGTTCCTTTATAAAGTGTGTTATTGTGACACCAAAAAAATCCTGCCTACATGTGTGATTTCTGTTAAATTCTGCGTAATGTAAGGTCTATTATCTATCTATCTATCTTAACTCTATCTCCATCTATCTATCTATCTATCTATCTAATCTTGATCTATCTATCCTATACTATATCTCTTCAAATGTCAAAGGATCAAAGCCCAATCAATAGTATAACTTGGTTGAACAGACTATCATAGCTGCAAGACAGGAAACCGACACAGCCCAGAGCTCGTATTTCATCCGTGAGACACAAACCCTCTCGTCCCAAAACCTGAGAACGCCCGCAGTGACCATGCTGTTGGTTTCCTTGGCCACATCAATTGTTTGCATGGGGCCATTTGCCCCATCAAATCACACCTGTTCCACAACAGCAAGCAAGCATCCGGAAGCTGGTGGAAAGACAGGACATGATTCAGGAGCAGAGAAGTTGTAAACGCATTAGATTAGATTTGTTTTTTCTTGGGTGGTTGAAGGGGAAGTGAAGCCTTTAAGGTTCTCTTGAACGCGAAGCTACGGACCTTATAACAGAGCAACTTAGTGAACAGTTAATCCTTAATAATGCTAAGTATTTATAAGGGTAAATATTATGTTTTCCTGCTCATTTTAGACTCACTACCTGAATATTGATGTGTGTACAACAGTCAGCCCAGCAGGAGCAGCAGCAGGAGGAGGACGACCAACAAACAACCTGCAACCCCTGCTGCCAGTTACCTGTGCCCCTGTGGTAAAGACGAGTTGTTCTATCCTTCCTAAACAACAACAACAACAATATTATAATAATAATAAAGAGTGGTTAGTTTGACACGCCGTTGACCTCGTCTGACACAGTTGGAGACTACAGCTGCTGGTGAGTATCTTTAACCAAACACGAGCATGCATTAGCAGGTCAATGTGTAGAGTAAAGTCGTGTTTTTGTTCCCCTTCCCCTTGTTTGTGCCTCCTCAAACTGAACGTGAGAAATCCTCTGCAGCGTGCTGACGTGCGTGGCGTCCATGGCTGCTCGCTGCTTCTGCAAACTTCACCGAGCTGTGCGGACGTAGCGGTCATTTATTCAGAGTTAACCCGTTATATCTGCTCAACTTTTCCCGGTCTCGGTTGTTTATGAGCAGCTGTGGTGTTGGTTTAAATAATTGTTGGTAAACAACGTGTGGCACGCGTTTGTTATTGTGGAGTCTCGTGGCTACACGCCCACGAGGAAGTTAATAATCACAGATTTTCAGTGGGACAGTCTCGATGGTTTCAGGGGTTTATGTTGCATAACTCGGATGAAGTGAAGCTCTAACTGCGCTAAAGCGGGTTTAAACTAGTTTATTTTGCTGTTATAGCACCAATATGTCTTACTGTAAACTAATGTATTACCTTGTGCGATAGTCAGTCGCAGCCATCTTAATATTTATATTTAATTTTCACCTGAAAACATGGTTAGTTTCAGGTGTATGCAAATAATGTTATGCACATTAACACAATCTTAAATCTTCGAGGGTGAGTGTGTTAAATAAATAGTTTTTTTTTTCTTTTAAATTACAGTAATATACACTAATTACAATGTATAGTGTGAATGATTGAGTAGTTTAACATCTACACAGTCATGATAATACTGGCTGATTTCAGCTAATCACAGATGTGTGTTTATTTACATAGTTTGTCCATTAAAGAGCACTGACAAGTTTGTTCTTTAACTTTAAAAGGCTCAGTATAGTCATCAAAAAGTTTGTTTATGTTATGTGATTGTTAAAAAAATCCATGACAGTAAAAAACAAATGTTGGCTGAGATATTAACTCTGTTGTACCGATATGACAAAGGAAAATAGAGGCTAACCTTTGAGACTGAGCAGTTTATTTTCCCACTGTTTTTTGTTCTTCTTTGTTATTTGTTTTTCTCTATTAAAGTGCTAACAGACAGCAATACATTTAATATAAATGAATCTGTCTACCTGTGACAGTATTATACTTATTATACGTGTTTGATTATATTCACAGAAGAATCACAGTTATTACTGCTTCATGTTGTCCGATGCAATTATCATCAGAAATTATAGGAATAGTTTTGTTATTCATGCAAGATTAATGGGTCAGACGACCACCGACATACTGTATCCCTCTACCTTACATATTACAATACTCTTTCTTGTTTTAGTACAGATTTGATCACAAGGACTGTTTTTAATTATTGGGAAATGTATTCAGATAGAACACAGACTCTCTTCTGTTTTATAGTCTTGAGGAAACATGGTTTTACTCACGTTTCCCCTGTTTGTGGTGGTAAGTCTGCTGCTGTGGCGGATCACCACTGCACAGTAATGTGGGAAACATTTACCACTTTAGGTTCAGGATCAGTAATCAAAGGCAGTGATGGGAGGCTGCCGGTAAGAAGTGAGGTGTACTGAACGGCACTTACACGTAGACGCACTCAGGATGTGATGCCCGGCTATTTTCATAGAAGTGAGTCACCAGCTTGTGGAGGGACAGCAGTGGAGCCAGACAACAACTGAGGCTTAGGTGTGTGTGTGTGTGTGTGCGTATTCACCATACAATACCATGTATAATCCCAGTCGTTGTGCTTTCACAAATACCTTGTGGTGACCTCTCGCCCACTGGGCATCAAAACTGACCTTTCAGTCCTCTTCTCCTCTCATTCAGGCTTTAGTATTTATATAGTGTCCTTCGTCTGATAGTTGACACGTTTCAGTGCTGATGCAGAGGAAGAAAGCAGCTTGTGTACACCTGCTGAGGCAACACACTTAAATTGACAAATGGGAAGTTGCTCAATACATGTGGCAATAAACAGTAACTTCTGCCCTGTACTATCAGCTGTTCACAACTCTGAATCTTGCAGAAATGCACACTGATTAAAGTATGTTTTAAATATGTTGAATGCAGCACAAGATTAAATACTGGCATTTGCATTCTGTTGCTCTGTGTACAGATTTGTAGTAGAAGGTTTCTTTACTTAAGTAACTTTTTATCTAAATTCCCAGCCTACTAGAGGATCTTGCAGGATCTTGTTTCTATGCTGAGTTGACTCAGCAGAGTTACTGTGCTAGTTGTTATGACAATAAAGTGCAAAGAACAACCTTTCATTATGTTTCATTCATATGTTAAAACAAGCCAATATCTGCAGCATATGAGCTAGTGGGAGCATGTAGAAGCAAACTGAAGAGGCCCAAGAGTGGAGCCTTGGGGGACTCCTCATTTGTGTACCCTCAAATGTGTAAGTACTGGTCAACACAAAATAGTCCCTGTTTTTCAAATAGGACAGGGACCAGTATAGCTCTGTGCCAGAGTCTGACCCAATTTTCCAATCTGTCTAATAATGTTGTGGTTGACTAAGACAGAAGCTTTTCTAGTGTGACTTGACATCGACTGTCTGTGTTTAAGTGGATGTCATTCAAGACCTTAATAAGAGCCGTCTTGGTGCTTCATACATATCACAATATAGCACATTTTCTGTAAATTTAATGATTAAATAGTAGCTATAAAATGAGCATGCAGAAAGGCCTATTTCTTGTTACAATTTGAATTATATACTCGACAAAGTAAGGGAACTTTCTCATATTTTAGTTTATCTTCATGCAGATTTCCTACCTGAATCCGCCCCTTCTAGAAGAATGCACGTTGTCCAAAATATGAAAAATATTGCTGTAAAAAGTGTGATTTGTGACACAACAAAAAAAAACAATCATAAGCATAATATAAAACAATGGATGTTTTTCTATTGTCACAAGATAATATTGTCATGTTGCACAGCCCCATTGACTAGTTTGCAGGAGATGGAGTTAAAAACATTTTTGAAAAAGGATTTCATTGTGTCATGCTATTGGATTTGGTTTAAGAATTCACAGCTAACCTTAGTCGAAGCAATTGCATCAATAACATTTGTAATTTTAGAAACTTATCTACAAGATCGTTGACTGAGATCCAAGTAGGAGTGGGTGTGGAAGAGAAAGCCTGAATGAATAATTCACCTGTGTTTTCATTGATTAAAAAAACAAACAGTAATGATTGGAAAGAGTAACTCACCACAACCTTAGACATGTTAAGACCTTTGTAGATGATCAAGTCTCTATCACATGTTGAGTCAGTCCATAGTTACACAGAACAGAACACGATTCTTTAGTGCAGCTGTCCTGACAGCTGTCAACATGAATGTTAAAACAACAATAAGTTGCAGTCAGTGCAGATGATAGACAGCGGCTCAGCAAAGTCATCAGTTTGCACAGTATTTAGGTGGCCTGTAGATGTTTAAGAAGATGGACAATAAGAAATAAACTGAAGAACGACATATTCAAAAGAAACAAATTTTACCACAGTTAAACATTATGTCTATTAAGACTATGTATGTCTTCCTGATCTGTGTCCTATATTTTCTCAGTCCTGTTTCAGGGAACCAACTTGCTAAGTCATAAACTTATTTTACAAAGCTGCAGAGAAAGTGTGCGATGTGTTATTTGGCGATAACAGATATAAAACTGTCCTAGGGTGAATTATTAAAACAAACAAAAACACTTAACATAAATAAGACAATAATAATTACAAAAAGAGACAAATCAGTGCTTGTATTATTTCTAAAAAAAACTTTTTTATTTTGTTGTTTGGGGCTTTGGCTGCAGGTCCTTTTGTGTGACAAAGTATGCCACCCCCTGGTCTCCAGCAGTCCTAAAGGAGCACGGATGACCCACTTAACTGACTCAGTGTGTGTATGTGTGTCGCAGCACACTCATATATTGCTTCGACTCTTTCAGCAACGGCTTTTTCCATTGGCCCGAATCCCAGCTGAACTGTGTTGAAGCACGTTGTCACACCCACAAAACTTCACCTGTAAGGCACCAATGAGCACACAGTAAATCTGCAGATTGCAACAGTGAGGAATGCAGTGCTTGTTTAGATAAGACTCGGAGTCCGAGTTATAGTCAAAGGCATTATCAGCATCAGTGTATTATATCTACTATTTGAGTAGTTGACTTTAAGATACACCAGATTGATTCTTGGAAAGAAATGGTGTAATATTTTGAGATCTGCCTTTTAATAGAAAACAATCTCGCAGTCCTATCAGTTGCAGAGAGAAATGAGGAGAGGAAAAGAGTGACGGCAAACCTTGTACGTGAACCAAACATGTGCAGCCACAGTTGCTCACGCACAGAAATAGCTGGAAGAGGCAACAGCCAGCAACTCTCCCGACTCCTCCCTCCTAGTTTCCAGTGACATTTTCAGATCCAGTTCTGGACCACATACACATATCTTCACACCATACATGCATGCACGGTATTCCCTCCCTTCCTTACTGCTGTGTGCGGTGCTCACACAGATATTGCAAGTCATAAGTATTTTTAGACAAAGTATTAAAGTCATCTGAAGATGTAACAGCTGTGCGAGTTTGTGAGCGTGTGTGTTTCTGTTTGGTCTGAAAGTGTGTTGACGACTGGGTTATTTCTATTTCCATTTGCCTCCTTGTCCCTCTGTATGTCTTTGTCTCCGTTCCTCTCATCTTTACTGACAAGTTCATGTTACACATTTAGACATTTGACCTCCTTATTTTGTCGGTGAACACTGTTTACCTCTCTGTGCTACCAGGCCTACTCTGTATGGAATGAGATATAGTATAACAACAATATTTACCCTACATTTCTGTCTGTTTTGTCTCATTTTATGTCCTTCTCTCTGTCTCTAGTCCATCATGGCAGGCGATATGATGTTACTGATGCGAGGCTTGGCCAAGTTGAGCCAGGCGGTTGTAGAGACTCAGAATAGCACCCTGCGCAGTGGAATGGGTAAGTTTGAAATTCATATTTAGTTCCTAAACTGGTTAAAAACAAAAAGTTATAATTTAAAAAAGGTTAGCATTATGTGAAAACTAGGCCTTTTCACTACATGATTATTGTGGCCAAAAGAATTCACAATAACAATATTGTGATAACCTGAATTCATCTCATCAAATCCTGGTAGATACAGCAATTTAGCTTGTGGGCAATTATTTTGGGCAATAACATTAATAAGTTTACTCTATGGTCAGTTTATAGTGTACAGAAGAGATTATTAGAGATAATAATATGTTTTGTTCTTTATAACTCAGGAGTCCAAGGAGTTGGTGCCGCAGTCCAAAGTGTCCAATCGGCTGCTGAGCAAGGCCTCTCTGCCGCTATGATGAAAGTGCAGGTATGTGTGTAAATACTACACTGTGCAAAATGGCAGCATAGTTTGAAAAGAACTGTATATTATATTTAATGGCAAAATAATGTTATGAGTCTTTATATGTGTGTCTGTCCAGGAGCTGTCTGGCCAGCAGCAGACCTCTTCATCAGAGTCAGAATTTGATTTCCCTCAGGACGACAGTGCGTTCGCAACTTCAGAGTTCAAGGAGGATGGCGTGGACTATACAGTGGATCACACAGGAAGTACCAGTGATGCAGAAGCCCAGCATGGTGCAGCAGCTGGAGCGAGTGGGAAACAGTCGTTGTTTGAGGGATACAAAGATCCCAGCAAACAGTTTAGTGGACACACCAGATCTTACCACCAAGATGCAAGGTATTAATAGTCTCTTACTCAATTGAAATTGACAGTATACAAGTTTATGCTGCTGTTTGGAGGATAAAGGTAATCACGTTTGCTTTGGGTGTGCCAGACATTACGCTGGACATCAACAGCTCTACAACCACAGTCTGAACAGGCAGTTGTGGGGACAGCTATACTGTCAGAATCAGATCAGTCAGCTCAGGAGCTACCATCAGGACCCGTCCACAGTTGGAGGGCTGACGGCCGAAGACATCGAGAAAGCAAGACAGAGCAAGAGGGATGAGAACAAACCCCACAAACAGATGGTAATTCCTTTTCGGCCCCTGTTCTTAAACACAAACACACAGACATCAATGTAAATGTGTACTTCTCCATACACATTTTTAACATTTTAATAGAAAAGAATCTTTACTGTCTTCTTCAGTTGAGTGAGAGAGCCAGAGAGAGGAAAGTGCCAGTGACTCGGCTTAGCAGACTGGCCAACTTTGGAGGTATAGTAATAAAACTCTTCGCTAATCTATCTGAATCTTGGCTGATTTCATTGTGTGACTGTATCTGTAGGTACGTGTCTGTGTGCAAGCCTGCAAGTACACCTCTTCCAGTTTAGTGTGTGTATTTTACTGACTGTGCGCTTTCTCAACAAGAATCATTAAAATAAAGCTTTTACACATCCTAACCCTCATTCTAGTAAACAGAGGAGATGAGTCTTAATCAGTCCCTTCAGGAAGTTGCGATGTTGCAATCGCAACAGTTAACAGAAATTCAGCCAATCCCTGGGAATTCTGTGCAACCTTCCAACCATTGTAGTTTCCCGCAAAAATATATCTTATCTGACTATTTTTTACATTTTCTGTTTTTCTGGGACTGCTTAATGGAAAATCAAACATTATGTGGTTCCTCTTTGATTAGTCACAAAGTTTTAAAAAAAAAAATAACACAGGAATAGAGCTAACAAGTCAAGTGTTAGATCCTGGTCTTGCTCTTAAACAAACACTTCAAGAAACCTTATTAATGGACCCGTGTTCCTGTCCAGATATTATATTTGATAGCAGCACTTGAGACGTTGTAATTAAATCTGTGTGAGTTTGCACTGCATATTGTTGTGTGTTAGTTAATCTTATGTTTGACCATGTTGCCTGCCCTCTCTCATATTTAAACTCACAAATTACTGCCAATCTGATGTAAAAGTAAATCTAAAACGCAAAGTGAGAGAAAAATAAATAGTTAAATTTACAACAAAACTCAAAAAGCCAATAACTGTAGCAGTAAAAACATTGATGAAAAGTTGTACTGGATTTTTTGGTAATTGGTCTTATTTGTATATCAACCAGAATTGAGCTGACCAGGGCTATAAGTTTGACATGTTCTAGTCTCAATCATATCTAGAAAGGATGTTTTTCAGTGATATTCAAAGATTAATTTGTTAACTCAAGCGGAGTGAAAAGCTCACAACAAGATTGAGATTTAGTTCAACGTGACAGATCAGAGCTCATAGATCAGCAGCTTGTAGCTTCACTTGAGACGGATGATAGATAAGTTAACAGGTGGTATAAAGTTGGACGGAGAAGCTGAAAGTACAGAGTGTGAGGAAGAACATAGACTGTGTACAAAATTGAACCCAGAACTCAGTCTTAGATGAGTCAGAATGGACTGCCAACACAAATATATGCAGCAGAATTTAGCCGCAACTCATACCAAACAAATGGGACTTACACAGGCTGCAGTGAGACTTAAAAGGTGGAGCTGAGTTGAGTCAGCATGTTGACAGTGGTAACATTTAGAAGGTGTTGGGAGAAGTGGAGGGGGTGGAGGAATGTGTCCTCGTCCTGTCCTTCACTCTGCTGCAACTTCTGTTGACAAAGTTATACAGGTTTTATTCACAGCTACGAATGGAGATAAAGAACAGGCTGAATTTAAATGTGATTTATAGTTTCATAAATCTGTTGACATGTTTCCTGGCAACAGAACTTTTTTAGTAACCTTGCCTGGACGTCTCTTTTGCTGAGGCTTGTGAGGAAACAGAACTATATATTTGAGTATTTCCTGGTGCTACTAATATTTGCTAATAGCAAATGAAGGAACGGGAGTCGTCTTTTTAAAGCCCGTAAGCAGTCTGCCTGTAAACGCATGGCTGTCTCAAATGATTGACGGACGCTTGTGTTTGGTCTGTGAAGCAGTTTGTCACTCAGAGATGCTGCAGGAACTGCTGATCTCTGTTTGGCTGCACACTTTAAGATCATACAGATAAATACGCACAATGGCAAGTGTATTCTTGTGTTCAAGTTCGAATTTACTGCTGTACATTTTAAATCCCCGCTAAAGCAGGAAGACAAAAATAGTGATGACTGAGTATGTTGAGAGGGAAAGAGTAAGACAACACTGTATCAGCTTACACAAGGTAACATATGCTGTACAGAGTTCAACATGTTTTCAGTGAAAGTGTTATGCACATCCTTCTTCCCTCTGGTCCAACCTGTCTCCAACAATAGAGGCGATGACAGGTTTTTTGACCAATGAAGAAATGCTCAGTCAACTTGTATACAAGACACTGAAGCGCACTGTGCCCTAATTTGTCTGTCTACCGTTGGATCTCGCTTCAGGGGCCGCTGACTAACTGATTATGTAATGCTGAGTTATGTAAGCAAGAGACCAGTCTCGGAGGAACGCTCTCACAAACAGCCCCTAACTCGTGCAGCCTTGCTTTTTCTCTTAATTATCTGCTAAATTTTTTAGAGGATTAAGTATTTCAACAGCTTAACTGTTAATATGATTAGATTGATATAAGTTTCATTCGCGCTGTTTGGTTGGCAGAAGTGCAGCTGTTGCAGTTCTGTCATTGAATGCTGCTGAGCTGATCAAGGTGCTTATCTGCACATGTTTTATTTGTCTCATATATTCTGATGAATATGTTATATTTATGGGAAAACAGAAGGCAACAGATTGCTTCATACGGTCTCAAGTTTATTTATAGACAGAAACATCACTGAGCCCTAGTGAAATATTCTGACAGGTTGATGGTGACTGTGCCATTAAATCAGCTCACTGTCAATACAGTGATTGACTCACTAAAAGGATGTCTTCACAGTGTCACTACATGACTGCTTTTATGTCTCCCTGTTATCATGGGTGTGTGTGTGTGTGTGTATGATGACCAACTTTAATTTTGTGACGCACTTTACATATTACAACTCATTTTACAACTTTTTATGCTACATTAGTGTTTGTTTGTGTATTAAGCCATCCCACATTCATGAGTGTGTTGTTGGTGTTCTGTCTGTGTGTTTCCAACAGGTCTAGCTGTAGGTTTGGGTTTTGGAGCTCTGGCAGAGGTTGCCAAGAAGACCATGAGACACAATGGTGCGACAGGTAACGCATTTGCTTACACAATATCTACAGTTAGCCGTCTTGCCAAGCAGCTAAGTTATACGTTTGCTTTTGCATTATTATTCAGGTATTTTTATGATAATCAGATATTCAATTTTTGTGTAAGATGATTAAATACTCCAGTCTAATAGCAGATATATTTGCTTACTGCAGTTTTACTACCACTGATATCACAGCTGCTTCTTTCTGAATGCATAGTACTATGGATTTGTCTGTACAGGTAAAATACAGGTTATAAGAAGTAATTATTATGGTCGTGTCTGAGAGCTTTGTACCTGTAAGGGCAGTTATGTTTATCTTTGTCTCATGGTAAGAACATATGCTGATTTTGAAACTGCATTCCTATTGATTTAGCACCACTGAAAAAACCAACATCATTTTCCAGAGCCAATCCTTCATGCATGTTGCTACATGCTACACACTTTATGGTTCGCCAACAGAGCACAATTAGGCCTCCTCCCTCATCAACCTCCAACCTACTGTAGGTTGCTACAGTAGGTTCTGCACCGTGAGCCTGCTAATCCTAAAACAGAGCTAAGCTGAAACAGCGTACAGACTTAAATCGGAGGCACTTGCGCGTCTGTTTGTGGGTGTTTATCTGTGTGTGTGTGTGTGTGTGCGTGTGTTGTTGCGGTGTGTGGTTGTGCGTGTGTGTGTGTGCGTGTGTGTGGTGTGCGTGTGTGTGTGTGTGTGTGTGTGCAGTAATCCCAGCAGAGACATTCTGAACACTCGTAGGTGAGTGTGCGTTAAATCTCTGTTAAAGCCTCTGAAGGCAGCTTCAGACACACTAAAACACCCTACCTGATGACCTACTGACACATATACACACAGACACACACATCTGCTGGGGTTTGTACGCAAACACATGCACATATTGTATATAAATCTAAACCTTTCAACTATTGCTATTGATAACTTCACTTGTATATTAAACAAACACATGTGGCATAGTTGATTAACACATGTACATAAAACCTTGGCTCTTAAGTTTGACACTAGACATTGCATGTAACGGGAACCATATGTCTATGAACCCAATCCTCTCTGTTTTGTGTGTCTGCAGGTGACAGTAAGAAAGGCGTTTTGGACTCCAGCCCCTTCCTGTCTGAGGCCAACGCCGAACGCATCGTCAGAACTCTGTGTAAAGTCAGAGGAGCTGCATTAAAACTGGGACAGATGCTCAGCATTCAAGGTGTGCGACGAGCACACACATATATTCACAAATTGAGATGTAGACAGGGTAAGATGGGGGAGGTATAAATAAAAGGAGGCATGAGAGTAACCATGAATAGAAATTACAGTGAGAAAAGATGTGTGGAAAAATGGATAAAGAATAAAACGATGATTCACTGAGGTATGGTTTGACTATCCTAATGTGATGCTTAAAAGGTGCTCACATTTCCATCAAGAAAGCTGATGAGTCCTTTGCTTTTGATATTGTGCAGCAGCTGTGTTGAAATACAAACTATCTGATGAGAGAACTCACTAAAAAACACACATTTATTGTTTCCACCAGCCATGGATACTGCACCATCTATATTTAGGATGTATAGTATTCCTGTGCCTTTTTTTCTTTCTTTAATTATACAGCTCATAAACCCTGGATCACAGACAATTGTCAGCAAAGAAAGTTGGCACAGAGATCTGATTGTTGTTGATCAGTGGCAGCCAAGAGTTAAGTTAGGTCAACTTTTCTCTGCCAGCCCGCTGCAGTCATTTACCAGTGGATTAACAGATAAAGTGTAGTTTTGGTGAGCTGTTGATGGTTTTCTATACGCTCCGTTAGAGACTGAGCATTGGCCTGTTACTGCACACAGACACAAACATGCAGGTAGCACCAGCTGAGAATACGTTAGAATGTAAGTCAGTGCTTGTTTGTGTTTTGCACACATGCGCCAGACAAAGTTAAAAAGTGGAAGGCCTGCAGCGGTAAACATCCTGGCACAGAGCTAGTGCAGTCGGGTCAGGTAACGGCAGTGAAAACATAATTAATTTTGTTTATCTCAGTTTCCCTTGCAATCTGACCTTGGCTGTGACCCTTGTCCTTTGGCATTCATATACTGAGCTCAGAACATGTTAGATTAAACTTTACACGGGCAGTATAGTGTGGTAAATGTAATGAACCACAAACGCAGTAGGAGAGAAAAGGACAGTGGCTGTCTGGTGTTTGCCAACCAAGTTTCAGCACAGTCGATTGACCTTGTGTGCCTGTGTGTGTGTGTGTGTGCGGTTATTTGCAGAACTGGTGTAGCTTTACTTTATCTCTAAGCTGGTGACAAGTTGATTCTTAAATCATGGACAGAAAAGTTTCAGTAGTCTTCTGTAGCTGGAAACACACACACACGTTGTCACTGCTCTTCCCACAGAGAATGAAAGAAGTTGAATATGATTTATAGTCTTATATAAGTATTATAGAATTATACTCAACAGAGACCAGTGAAATATGACTGGACTCTGGAGGATAAGATAAAGTGGCCCACTGCTGACATTTATCTGCCAGGGCAGGAATGCAGCTGTGGTGGGATGATTGTGTGTCCAACCATTGTACCCTTTACCAACGGTCCAAAATAATGTTAACCTTGAGGGGTCTGAACTATTTTAGTTTACTTTAGCTTGTAATAGTGATTCCTCATGTCGTCAGCAATGTCAGCCAATGTCATCTTTGTAGCTGCCAAGTAGTGTTAGGTTGGCACTGTATTAAAGTGGTGTGTTTCTCTATTTCAGATGATGCATTCATTAACCCTGAACTCGCCAAGGTCTTTGAGCGCGTTAGACAGAGTGCTGACTTCATGCCAATCAAACAAATGACAGTAAGCATATTTTCCTTTTTGCATTAACTGATAATTATAATTGGATAAGTGATATAAGAATATCAGTCATACCTCTTCACTTTTAACTCCACCAGTGGAAAAATTTAATTGGAAACTGCAGATGTTTTACTAAATATGGAAAACTTTTAAAGACAATAAATGAAGTTGAATGTAACTGTTTGTGTCTGTCTGTAGAAAGCGTTGAACAGTGACTTGGGTCCTAACTGGAGAGACAAACTGGAGTCGTTCGAGGACCGTCCATTTGCGGCAGCGTCCATCGGCCAGGTTCACCTGGCGAGGATGAAGGATGGCAGGGAGGTGGCCATGAAAATACAGGTAGGCTGTGAACATGTGTGTGTACACAGTGCATTCTCATGTTAATAAGATAAACACTGTACTGGAGTGCGTCTCACGTGTGTTTGTCCTCTCTGTTTCTCATAAACATGCGTTTATAGGGAAACCACACAGAATCTGCTCTGTTTGAAGATCAGATCTCTTTTAAAAAGTGTAAAAACCAGCTGCCAAGTTATTTTATGCCTTTACAGTATTTACAGACTATCTGTCTGCCATCTTAATTGTTTAAAATAAATGCCTTTAGGACTTATGTAGGATTTGCCAGAAATAATTAAACATTATATATAATAATAGCATTCCCAGTTAAAGCTATAGTTACATTATACTATAAAGATATGTTTAAAATAAATAATCATACACATACATGATACAACGGCATTACAGTATTTTAAAGTGATATTATGAATAATAGCGCCACAGAAAATATATTTTTTTAATTTCTTTTTTGTCCTTCATTTTATGATTTAAATTAAATTTTAAAAAAGTTGTATTTGTCTTCCTCTGTGTGTTTGTTTCTCTCCAGTACCCTGGTGTGGCTCAGAGTATCAACAGTGACGTCAACAATTTGATGACGGTGTTGAAAATGAGCAATGCCCTACCTGAAGGTAAACGCAAGAAATTCTGTCATATACAAACAAACACACGTGTGCTCACATTCTAATTCATACACACACAAACACACACACACATACACACAAACACATACAACTTAATTCAACTTCAGTGTCTTTGCTTCTCCATCTGCTCCTGTTACTGACTCTTTATTGGCATGTGAATGCTTGTCGTTGTTGTTGTTGTTGTTGTTGTTTTACATTGTCTCCCTTTTTCTTGCTGTCTTTGTCTGTCTTTAGGTCTGTTTCCAGAGCACCTGATAGACGTGATGAGAAGAGAGCTAGCACTGGAGTGCGATTATGTTAGAGAAGCCCAGTGTGCAAAGAAGTTCAAGTGAGTCTTATGTAGCATATCTAGAAAGTCAGCCCTGTACAAGACGTCTCTTTCCATTGCATTGACTGTATATTATGTTTTAAAATAAAGAAGCCAAGACTACTGCCAGCCAACTATAAATAGTTTTAATATTAAATATAGTCGACCTATCTACTTAACCTGGATTTATCAGGGTTTGTACAAAGTCTTTAAAGTTTGTAAAATGCTGAATTGTGTTTCATTTACACGATCTCTAATGTAAACCAAAAATATTTTAATATTTGAAATTAAACAATCCTGTTGTCATATTTGTTTGTCTCCCAGAGTTTTCACTCTTCATTTATAGCTTGATTAGTCCTCAGTTACTTGCTCTCTAAAAATAGCAAGCATTAAATTGTCATAGTCCAAGCAAACAATCAAAGTTTGGTTAAGGTACCTTGAAAGTGCTTGAATTTTACTCTTAAAAACTGTGCAACCCTGATTTATGTGTCTTTGTATCTATTAATCTGTCTGACCCAGGGAGCTATTGAAGGACCATCCGTTCTTCTATGTGCCAGAGGTGATTAAGGAGCTGAGCGGTAGCCATGTCCTAACCACAGAGCTTGTCCCTGGGTTTCCCCTGGACCAAGCTGAGAGCCTCACACAGGAGCTGAAGAACGAGGTACAGCTGACAGACCAGACTGATGAAGAGATCGACAGATATTTAACTGACTAATGGATGCATTCATCTGGGGAGGGGCGCATTAGTTAATGTGTTCAGATACAGAGAACTAGTTTCTTTCTGATGAATAAATACATAGATAGATGAATGGTGGCAGGAATTCAAAGACAGACAAAAATGAACATTCATAGTTGACATGAACAACAATTTGTTTGTTTCTGTTTCAGATCTGCCAGAACATCTTGATGTTGTGCCTCAGGGAGCTGTTTGAGTTCAGATACATGCAGACTGACCCCAACTGGTCCAACTTCTTCTATGATCCACAGACACACAGGGTGAATACTGCTGTTACTGTTACTTCTGCTGCTACTACTACTACTACTACTACTACTACTACTCATGATAATAATAATAAATGGCATTGACTGAGATTTCAGAGTAATGAAAGTGATAAGTCATCAATGATGGTGTCTTTCTAGGTGGCGCTGTTGGACTTTGGAGCCACGAGAGGATTCGATCAGAGTTTCACAGACCTCTACATAGAGGTAAGATTCTTAACTGTCATCACTGTACACTGAGAGTGGATTATGTTAATGTAATTTACAGTTATACAGATAATTTTGGCATGCATAAGATATTAAAACATGTCTCTGAGATGGAGAGAAAGACACTGAGGTGATGGTGCTCATAACGTTGTTTGTGACTGTAGATAATCCGTTCGGCTGCCGAGGGCGACAGAGAGGGAGTTCTGAAGAAATCTATTGACATGAAATTTTTGACTGGTTATGAGTCCAAGGTAAATATCTCTTAATCTGACTGTCTGCTCTACATGATAAACCATAGCTGTACATTTTCCCCTTGATATAGCCAATAGAAATGGGATATAGTAGTGACAGAAACCCAGAGCAAATACATCAAGGGTTGTAGTAAAAGCAAAATAAGAAGCTGTTTGATCAATCAAGATCCAAATTTCACTTAAAAGCTCAGCGGTCTGTGCTTCAAGTTGACCTGGTTTTGCTACGTAAAAATATGTCAGAACCAATCTGAGAAAATGAGTTTCTGCAGCAGATCTTCCTCTTTTATTTATAAAAGTGACCTATTTTACTGAACCTGATGATCATTAACTGAGACTAAACATGCAGCATGTTTTACCCTCCGTGTCCAGGCGATGATAAATGCCCACGTGGATGCGGTGATGATCCTCGGTGAAGCCTTCGCCTCCATGGAGACTTTTGAATTTGGCTCCCAGTCCACCACCCAGAGAATCCACAACCTCATCCCTGTGATGCTCAAACACCGGCTGACCCCGCCTCCCGAGGAGACGTACTCGCTCCACCGCAAGATGGGCGGCTCCTTCCTTATCTGCTCCCGGCTGAATGCGAAGCTGCAGTGTAAGGACATGTTCCAAATAGCGTATGATAAGTACTGGGAAGGCCGCACACGGCCCTCCCACTAGGCCACAAACCAATCCCCAAGTGTCAGGCGATTTGATGGACAGATCCTGGGGCCAACGGCAAAGTGCAAGTCAACAGTGTGAGGGTCAGGGCAGGAAGACCTTAACTGGTCAGCGAGCACCAGCTTATCTTTCCCATTTTGGGCGACGCACTACGACAAGTTTTTGAAGGGGACTTGCGCATATTTACAACCACCATTTCATAGTTTGAAGGGGAGCAGCAATATTTCGAGTGCTTTAAGGCCACACTCTAAATTTGGCCCCGTGAGGACTGAGGTGGGATGTGGATGGAAGGAGAGAAACAAACAACCTTGTGTATTCAGGTGTAAAATGAATGTAAAAAAAGTTGGAATTGTATTTCTCCTCTGATGTTTTCAAGGTGATTCTTGCATTTTTCTTGTGTTTTGTGCTGCTGTGTTTTGTTGAACCTTTTGGGAAAAAAACCACAACCAACTATCCAGTTTGCTGTCTGCCAGAAATGCCATGGGTGAATTGACTGTATTAAAGTAAGAAGACTGAACTCTTAATGTAAACCCAAAGTCATGAAATAATGGGGTTAATACAGTGTATGGGTAGAGTAAGTCATTGACCAGGACCAACATGTCTGGGTCACAAATATTTGGTTCTGTTGCTTTTCAAGGAAGTTGAATTAGATTTTCTGCCTGGATATGAATAATAAGGCTCGTTCTAAATATAGACATCAAAATAAATGTAGCAGTTTTCATAAGAACAAGATTTGTTTTTAGACAGATTGAGTGTTCAAGTCAAGATGTTGCCAAGCGAACAAGTCCAGTTGAATTTAGCC